TTGGTTAAACATTATGTAATGCCTTCTTTACATTTTTGAAGAAGAAAATGGAAAACAATTAAGCACTTTGAAATTGTATATAGCTCGCGCGATAAAATATGTTTTAAAAAAAGAGTAAAATAAGTAGAACAAAATACGCATTAGTTGGACTGAATCGTGAGTATTAGGACTTCCAATACAAACAGAGTAGCCTTATTACAATAGTAATGGTGTTTCATATGATCCAAATGAATACCATTCCCAAAGGAAAACCATGTTTATGTTCTTTTCCATATTGTTGACACTACACTTTTCTAACCCATCCGAACTTGATATATTATGGAAGATACAAATTCGTGATATAGCACAAAAATAAAAAGCAATAATAGCAATTAGATAGTCGACATACAATTAGTACAGAATCGTTGCGTAAAAATGCCCTCATTTAATATACAAATTCCCGTGCACTTTCGTTGTTCTTCAGTAAAAAATATATATTAAAGACAAATGAATGTAAAAATACCAACTACTATCAAGATTTAGAAGTTATATAAGTATATTTTTGTCCTAGATTGCTCATCTATATCTTCTATCTCTTCTTATTCTTAACACGATTTAGCCTATGCAATTAATCACACAATTGCCGGACTACCTTATTAATCATAATAATATAAGAAAAGCTTGCTAAAACTCAGGAGAAACCTTTCCAGATATATGTGAATTCATACCTAATCACTAGGGTCATTACATTATTTTAATACATTTATTTCGATTAATATCGTTATTGCCCCTATCTTTTCATTCATTAATTTTGCTTAATTACTTCCGTAGCTATGACTCTAAGTTTCATCACGCTCATACTATACAAAATTTTATATACAACCTCAGTTCTCGATTCTTCATATTGATTTAAATAGTAAGACACACTCAAGAAGCCAGTGAATAACAGAACAAAATCTAATTTTGAAAACACAGCACATTCTGTGGCCAAACATTTCGAATCCAATTCTATGGTATATTAGTGTTTTTTGCCGACTTCCAAAATTATTCGTGCAAATTTGACAAGCAACTACTCCAAGATACTACTATTGTGTGTGTTGTGTGCATCGGCTTAAAATACCACACTTTTTTACTTAAATATGAATCAATTCAATAATATCGCAAACGACCAATATCATACTTTAGTGTATTATTGACGTAATGTCGAGATTGAAACAGATGTGGATTACAACTAACTTTGGAAATGGCGTATTTATACATCCCGTTCTCGTGTTAAGTCCGATCATTTAATCAGATCTGTTATTGCTAGGATCTGTGAGCACTAACGAAAAACTGCGAAATATTTTTGTGGGGCTGATTTCCAAAGAAAAAGAATTATGGATTTTACTCCACAATACAGGAAGTTTCATGACCATTTTAAAGGATTCACAACATCTGTTTACAAGCTCTAGTCCTCCGGCAGAGAAAGCGATTGCCATCGTTTATTGCTCGTCCCGGTCTACTGCGATTGGGCGTGCGTGCGCGGCCGGCCGTGTCCTACCGCTGCGCGTTTCTCCCCCGCATCTGGCTGGGCTGCTGGGCCGCGGTGCGTAGCTGCGCTGGCTTGCGTGTGGTGCGGGGAGTCGCTGCCGCCAGCCCGCCGCCGCGCTGCGCGCTTCTCCTCGTGCGGGGCGCCCCGCAGGACAGGGTGCGCGCTCCACGCCCGCAGCGCCTGCAGCTGGCCGCCGCGCTGCTCGCCTCCGCCGTCGTCGTCGCCGCCGCCTACCAGGTCAGTCCTTATTGCCGGCTTCAAATTTTTCAAAGAAAATTTGGGCTGCACGGCCAGTACTGCCAACTTTTGAATCGAAGGGTTTCAACCCGACTTGAGATATTCAAAGAGACGTGTACTGACAATGAATTGCACTGTCGGTTTAATAATTACTTTTTTCTCACTCTTTTTTAATGTTTTTAGGTTTCGATCTCAGGAATAATATCTTATTCTTCTTACATGATCATTTCCCAAAAACATATTTGTAAGCCTACGCTCTTATAGGTATTTAACAAATAATGTATACTTATTATTTTGTACTAAAACTCCTGATATATTATGAATTGTTGGTGGACCTAATGTGGTAATTCACATTGCAATGGAACCAGGTTTGAAGTTTTTTCCATTTTCCTTTTATTTGTACGTTTCCTAAAATGGTTTTTTCCTCTTTAAGTACCATTGATTGTTAAAATTATTCTTTTTTAAATGGCCATACAAATCTGCAAATGCAAGAACAATTTAGTATTAGTACTCAATCTATTACGTAAAGTTTCAACAAAAATACAGACAAAATACTGCAATCAAAATTTCACTTTAGAAGTAATCTTTGCTAAATATTTTATTATGGATTTAGGATTATATTAATTGGAAATTAACATTGTTTTGAATAACAGCCAACTTTAACTTACCTGCAAGAGTCAACTGTAACAAACCTGGTCTCACTGTAATCTAAAATACCTCAGTAGGTCTTTCAACTGTTCATAAGAACTATTTTTAATTTAAAAAAATATTTTAAGTAAAAATATTTTTTAATAAAAATAGTTATTCATGAAAAAAAATTTATATGTCTAAAATTGAAAATAAAATTGATTCATCAGCTTAAGAAAAGCTTTATAAACTTTTAAAAATTATATTCAGAACGTCAACGGCGATGGTGAAATGGGTAGTGTATGTAGCCGTTATACCCAAGTTAGCGGGTTCAAACCGAGATCGAAGTCGTGGATTTTAAACGGCGAACAAACCTCTCGCACGCCTTCCTTCGGAGAAGAAGGAAAACCAGCTGTCCCATGTTAGTAGATTTACTGCATGTAAAATATCAAGCCTAAATGACACCTCTGAGCTAAATTCAAATCGCCTGTTTCTCGCCCAAGAAAACCTCCTTTGTCTACTAGTTAGTGAAAGGAGTGTAGCGAAATTTGCGTGGTCAGACGGAAGAGCAGGTCTCATGGCCTGAGTCTCGCCACGTAGAATAAGGCATCAATTCAAATATTAAAATAAGTTATATCAAGTCTGTCATGAAATGTATAATAAAAGCAATTCACTACTTCAATTTACCGAGTCAAAAAACTTGCATAGACATAATGGTAATAACAAGCATTCTTTATATTGTATAGAATGTGCTTTAATAAATAAATTGTATACGGAAGGGCTCATAATAATATTAATAATAATAATAATAATAATAATAATAATAATAATAATAATAATAATAATAATAATAAAGATCACGTTGACAAAAACGATGAGTGTCATACTCGGTCTCCTGATGAACTGAGAATTTGTTTTCGTGTTCGGCCAAATCACTGTATAAGAGAAGGTTATTCCTTTACTTTCTTCTCTTTCCTGGCCATGGAAACACAACAGTAAAATAATAGTGTCTGAAACACTTGTGTTGGCACATAGGTGTCCAAATTAACTCAAATTTGGCTCCGTAATTGGAACTCAATCGTTTTTGACAATTCTTTAGGTCTAGCTAAGGGCAAAGAGCTTGCATTTCAAGACTTCGAGATACATTTTCCACCCAAAACCTCCTGCTACCTTCCAAAAAGAACGAATTCATTTTTTCGACTCTTTGGAACTAATTTTGGAATTTAACCTAAAATTAATTAAAAATTTGGTGCCGTTTTTAAGAAAAACTTGAAAGAAAATACAAATTAACTTTGTTGTATCCAAAATTTCGCAAAAATAAATCATATTTTTGAAAAATTGAAGAAGATATTACTCGTAAGTTTGTTTTTCATGAACACATTTCATTCAGAAAAAAATATCTTCATAATTGTAGTAGGAAGTCGGAGAAATATTTTGAATTTTTTCAATTATTGGAAAACTTAGTGTTTTTAACGAGCACGAGACCTGCGCCATTCTCTGAAACGTCCTTCACACTATAGAATAAGAAGGTTTAATCAAAAACGTTTTTATTAATTTTGAAAATTTTAGACAATTTTGTTAATGTTTAGTTGAGAACACTTTTAGAATGTCCCAACGGCTTCGTTTAATGTATATCTAAAATTAAAATATCGTTTTCAAATATAGGGGCCGCGACATCAACCAGATCGATTGGAGAATGTTAATTTTGTAGAAAATTGCCTGAACGGTGTAACTGCTAGGGTTGTTCACAGGCTGACAGAGGTTTTTTCGTTAACAAGGACCCACCAAACATGGATTTTGGGTACACCACGTGTTAGTGGATTTTGTTTTCTCAATTTTGCATCTGGATTTATCCACTTTCTCGTTGCCAGGGCCGTGTAATAAGAGTTTTTTGCCGAAAATGCGCCGTTTTTCGCGCAGCATCATATACCTTTCTCTCTACTGAGGTAATGGTAGCAAGAAAGTATAAATGGTACGGCTTACCGATTCGATATCACGGTATCTGAGGCAACTCTAAAGAAGGTGTATTGTATTAAAGTTATTTTGCAAATATTGAAAATCTTTACCGCTGTGAAGGCAGAGAGTATTCCTCAATTTTTTATAGAATATAATGAAGACCATAGTTTCATAATTTCAAATTAACTAAAAAAACAAAACGTTACTATTAATAGATTGAGATAACATCATTTATCGTTAAATTATCGTTTGAACAAATTCAAAGCTGTTAATTCAGTACTGTGGGAAGTTCATGAAATAAACTTTGAGAGTACCATATTTATTTTTTTATATGGTTAATAAACGAGCTTTCGGTTATAAATGCTAGCGTATTTCGCTGATCGTGAAGTCATTAAATTCGGCTCTTGCCGATGTGGTGGCCGAGATCGCTAACGCAGTAGTGCCGTAGCGATCTGGGACCGAAAGATCTCGGGTTCGAGTCCCGCCTCGGGCACGGTTGTATTGTGCTCATTGTTTCCTCCCCTATCATCATCATATCTTGTCGTACTCACAGTTACCATACCGTTACAAGCAATAGTGGTCGCTAATAACATAGTAGTTGATGCAACCTTATATAAAAAAAATCTTGGTCTTACTCATCAATATTTATTGGATGTGAATTTTGTGTTCTAGGGCCTGTTTGACCTTATTACGAATCCTCAATATGAAGCAGATATAAACACCTTCGATCAACTGGCAAAAGAAAAGATGACTTTGTTTGTTCCTTCATTTGCAAGGGCATCACATCTGGAAGAGATTTTTCCGAAAATATCTATACGCACTTGGAAGAGTGAAGACGAATTTTCAGCAATTGTCAGGGATAAAACAAACAAACGTTATGCAATGTTCTATAGCTCTGAAGTGTGGCAGATGTGTGGTGCTTTAATACATCCGGAACTTAGGTTCTACAGAGCAATGAGAGATAGTACTTTTTATTATCAACCACATTTCTGCAGCAGAAGGTGAGTATACAAAAACGATCTCATAATTATTATAAACCTAGAATATACCAATACTTTTATAAAAATTATTTTTTCTTTCTGCTGCGAAGGTTTGTGATTTTCAAATAATTACTAAGATAACGTTTTTACTTTATCTTCTTACGAATTTTTCATAAGAAAAAGGTTTTGTAATCGTGCGCCAGAAAATGCCGAAATTTTGCTAGAAAAAATCTTGTGGCCGGATTGTGGTAACGAAGAAATGGAAAAATCATGTTGCTAAATTTAGAAAAAAAATCCTCTAATTCGTGGGGTAACCCGAATCCATGTTTTGTTGGTTCATGATACTGAAAAATCCTTTAACGGCAAAGGGTCCATCAGTCTGTCTGCCTGTCTGCGCTCAACGCTTGCACCATTCGGCCGATTTCCTTCAAAATTGATATTCCTCAATCCATCTGAATGATCTCGTGGCTTTTGGAGTTTCAAACGGATATTTTGATTTTTGAGGGTACTTCACATGAAGGTTCAAAAACATTTTCCAACTCGGCTACACTTTTTTCGATTACATTTTGTTGTTGAATATTGCGAAGGACGTTTAAAAGAATGGTTTAGTTTTCATTTTCCTTCACTTTTCCGATTTTTCGAAAATAGCAAGAAAAAAAAACACCTTCAAAATTGAAGGTAGACATTTTTTCTTCAAACAAAGCATGTTTTACACATTTAGCTTTTTAAAAGAGGTCATGTGTAAGTTTCTGAGAAAATTAATTGTTTTTGCGAAATTCACGCTTGACATTATAATTTTTTTTCTCAAAATTTTTCATTTAAATTTTCTTCACTTTTGTAATGAAGGACAGTAAAAAATATGGTACTAGCTCCATTTTTGGGTATTGCTTCGTTTTTCGTAAATTGCAAAAAAGTTTTTAAAAATACAAAATTGTAGATAGTGATGTTTACCTCAGACAAAATATGTTGGACAAAAGTAGCTCTTTAAAAAAGATTACGTACAATTTTTTGAAAAATAGAAATATTTGCATAATTAGCGCTTGAAATTTACGAGTTCTTTTTTCTCAAAACCCGCTCCAAACTTTTTCTTTAAATTTTCTCCACATATGTATTAAGGGACGGGTAAATAAATAGTGTTTGTCTCATTTCCGGTTGTAGCGCCATTTTTTCGAAAACGCCAAAAAAAACGTTAACATTATAATACTACAAAATTCGAGATAGCGATTTTGGCTTTAAACAAAGTCTCTTGTAAAAACTCAGGTCTTTCAAGAAGGTCATGTACAATTTTTTTTAAAAAATTAACTGATTTCGCCTTGTTTGTGTCCAATTGATACACTATTTCTACGAAAATATTAACTGAAAGCCCGCACAAAATATTTTCATTAAAGTTTTTCCTCGTATTTAACAGCGTATGATAAATGCATAAATAAATAAATGAAACTAGTGCTGGAATAGAATGGGACAGACTTTCTCACTCTATTTAGTTTTCTAATCTCTTTAGTCTGAACTAAGAATTCAGTCGTGTCTGAGTGTCTTCCCAGATACCTTCTTTGATCGCCCAAAGGACAAATTTTCACATTTTCCCGATTTTTCGACCTTTTAATGTTGGAACTGAAACCACCATACGCTTATGACTATTATATAAGTGTAAAACTTATATACTACCCGGGTAGTCGAAGTGGCTAATGGGTGGTTTACGGTATCATTTGTTAGTAGAGGAATTTCTATGGTTAGAGTCAGGAAATTTTATTTGTCACAAGTGTGCCGGACCGTTTATTCTGAGAATCTGAGTTCGAGTCTCGGAGCGGAAACATAATTTTCTGCTTGAAATCACTTTCATTGTTTTATGTAGTAAGATAATGTTCCATTTTATTCATATTTTGACGAGTCATTAATTAATAAATTGATATAACTAATAATATAAGTGCATTCGTTAAAAAACGAAATTATGTGATTTCTAACTGCAAATAAAACTAGTGGTGATCATCATCATGTACTTTCTTACATCATGTACTTAACTTGTTACGAAATTTTAATGCTACAATTTCTGTCCGTACCAACACAATGGATTCATCACTTGTAAAATACTTTACCAGTTTTAGTGCATGAAGGTCGAAAAATTATTTTTTTCTACAACTGTATAAAAAAGGTGGATTCTGAGCATTGGTATCTGTACAAGTAGTAGGTACTTTTTAAATATCCATTAAAAATATATGGTTGTCAAGACAACTATCTTGTGAAAAAAACGCGTGGAAATATAACCTCCTTTAAGCTGACACTACAACAATCAGTTATCACAAAATCAAATATGGCACCATTTAGAACTATTTAATTGTTAATTAATTACGCAAAACCTAATGTTTTCTCTTCAAAATTTTGTGTATTTATTGGTGAGTTAGGTTAAGACTAAGCCTGCACATCACAATCGTTTACCACGAAAACAAATATGCCATATTGTAAAACTATTTAATTGCTAATTAATTACGCAAAAAAATACTTAATTGTTCCCCAAACTTCCAGTTAATTTTTGAAGAAATATTTCAACATATTAATTGAATTACGCATTCTTCTCGTGTTTTATTTCACTGGCTTTACTATTTTGCCTGTCGGCAGGACGGCGAGCCGCCTGGAAGCACGGAAGCTCACCATTTTGGAAGTTTGAAGATCAATTAAATAATTTTTGCAGAATTAAATAGCAATTAAATCGTTCTACGATATCGCATATTTGTTGTGGTGGTAACCGATAGTGGTGTGCAAGATTAATCTTAATAAATTAGTAGAGGGAAAAACGTTTTGCGTAATGAATTAGCAATTACGTACTTCTAAATGGTAGAATATTTTGTAGTAACCGATTGTGGTGGTGCCCGTTTAATCTGACGCCTGCTTGCCAGTAACTTGTCGGGCATTTCGATAGCATTTATATAATTTTTGTTTAATTAATTAAAAATTAAATAGTTCTAAATGGTGGCAATTTTTTGTTTTGTAACCGATTGTGGTTTGCCAGCGTAATCTTCTGCTAGCTTTCCATTAATTACTCAAAAATGTGAACGGCAATAAAATTTTAGATAATTAATTAGCAAATAAATTGTTCTACATGATGGCATTTTTGGTTTTTGTGCTAACCGACTGTTGTAGTGCCAGCTTAAAAGAGATAAATATAAATCAGTAAACAGACGTATAGCTTACGCTTTTGCTTTCCTAGACCTCTATAATGCACAGCTGTTCTTCGAGATATAAAATATCTTATTCCAATTTAAAAGTACAAACTTTTTAAAATATAATTTGTAAGCATATTATTCGAAATTTCCTGCATAGAAGGCCATGGTCCGAAGAAGACTACTCCAGACGTTTCGTCTGCAACTTCACCAGGCATCTTCAGAGCCGATGCTTGCGGGGCGATGTGTTCTACCTGGCAGATGGGCGGCGACTGACACTCCCGGATTGCTTTAGTGGCGGCGATGTTGTAACAGTTAGCGTATCGGACTGTTATACCCAAGTTGGCGGGTTCAAACCCGATCGAAGCCGTGGATTTTTAAGGGCGAAAACATCCTTCGTACGCCTTCCTTCGAAGGGGAAGTAAAGCCGACTGTCCCATGTTAGTAGATTTACGTGCATGTAAAAGATACTGAACCTTCAAAGACGCATCTGAGCTCAATTCAAATCGCCTGTTTCTTCGCCCAAGAAATACCTCCTTTCTCCGCTAGTTGTTGAAAAGGGCGTAGGGAATTTTGCGTGGTCAGGTGGAAGAGCGGGCCTGATAGCCCGAGTCTCGCCACGTAAAATATTGCATCAATTCAATTCAATACTTTCCCCTCTCATTACCCTGGAGAGACTGGAATTTAGTCAGGTAGCGGGAGACTTTTCTGCTGCAGCTAGTTAGGCTTATGCAGCTAAAATAAGTCGTAATACATTACTTAATTTTAAGTGAAAAACTACGCATGGCCACTTTGGGCCGAAGGGCTTTGGCACTCCAGGTTCTGAGACCTGTATTTACACCTGCCGCCTAGCTGCCAAGTAGAGCACTTCGCCACTAAAGATGCATGATGCAGTTTCAGGCGAAACGCCTGGAGTAGACTCCTTTGGACTACAGTCTACAAGCCCGGGAACTTCGAATAATATGGACACTGGCCGTGAAAGCCTACATTGTATGATAATTTGTAAGCATTTGCAGAAAAAATGTTCATATGTCGTGAGCGAAGTGGTCGTTCTTTTTCATGGTCAAAGACAACAGGCAACAATCGAACACAAATTCGGGAATACACAACTAATTGCCACACAGCAGGAACTATAACTCAATGCCATTCCCAATCCTGAGAATACAACGTAATTTTATAAATTTCAATCCCGTGTCGCAGAGTATACATTACGGTATTGCAACCTGAATCAAACCAAGGCGCGGGCCCAATTACAAACAAAGTATTAAAAGGTGTGTTTGAAAAGGCTTGACAGCACATACTTTATCAATTTACATGTAAACGTTACGTAATATTAATATTTATATATTACACGTTAACTAAGTCATGGAAAAAAATATTTCCTCCATCTAAAAACTTTGAAGCGCGGGAAATCCGAAATTGAATTTTTGAAGTTGATATCCTGTGCATTACCACTACTTCTTCAAAGAACACATTTTGTTCTGTGTACTGTATATGTGAGTAAGCGCAGAAGATAGGATAAAAAGGAGAAAAAGAACATAGTGAGATGCTGTTTAGGGTGATACTCAGACATTGCTCGGTGTTGATCTCAGATATCACAGAATTCTACCCATTGGAGTGGTCGGTATTACAATTACCCACACAGCTCGGCTGTTGAATTCAACATAGTTGTACAGATAGTGGAAAATATCTCACACCGCCGGGACTCAAACCCTAGGTCCTCCGGATCAGATTCTCTGCAAAGACTGACCTGCATTGCTTACTAGGCTATCCCAGTCTCTCCAACATTTATAGTTCATTTCAAACTTTCACCCTTTCAACAGGAATTGGCCGTGGTCTGAAACTGTAAAATTGTTTTTATTACAAGTGAAAGAGTCGGGACTTTTTCGTAAATGGAAGGAAGATTATTACACATCTAATGAAATCCTCATCCGCTTGAAGCTGCCAAAGGAGAGCCAAAAAGAAGAGAACTCTGACGAAACAAGGGTTTTGGCGTTGAAGGACGTCGTCGGCCATTTGCAGCTGCTGTGCGCAGGTCTGTCGGCGTCTGCGCTGGCCTTCTGCGCAGAGCTGTGGCGCGGCCACGGGGCGGGCGAGCGCCTGCGCAGGCGCAGTCGACTTGTGCGCGCGCAGCTGAGCAGAATCTGCGATGGGTTGCGCTCAGTGGGAGCGCAGATACTCGAATTCGGACGGCGTATAATAGAAGCGCCTTCGCCGCCACAGCCTTAACGTAAGCTTTTCCCAAACATTCCGTGAAATGTATAGTTTTTCATAATTGCAATGTATGTTAATAAAGACGCCATAAAAATATCTTGCAGAATCCGAAATATCTAGTTGGTAATATATATTGAGACAGTACTACAAGAAATTAAATTGAAAAAACTCTTCATTATATTTCAGATGATGTGATTTTTCCGTGGACATTTTAAAGAGAAGCTTGAATTGGTTGTTATGCTGTCCTTAATGCCAATGAAACTGTAACCATTTCCAAACCTTTGAAAGTAATTAAATGTGGTTGGTTATATCAAGAACTGTAGTTGCCGGTTGAAAGAATTTTGTATTGATCGTTACATATTTTAGTAGATACTACGTTGGTGCAAATTGTTTTCAGTTGTTTGAAGTATTCGAGGTATCACATGTTTTCTCTTGATCACCACTTTTTAGTTATAAAGGCACAACTCTCAACGTTTAAATTTAGTACAGAACACACACAACACACACACACAGTTTATGAGTACTTAGAAAAAATGTTACTTGTGTAATTTTTTTGTATAAAAGTATCTTTGAAATTATTCTAATTTTCAATATTATTGGTGTGTTGAATGGTTTGTGCGAAAGAGGATCCAAATTTGTATTTATTAATGAACATTTTTTAAACTTTCTTGTTTTTTTTTCCTTTGAAGAACATTATCAGTTGTATATTACCATTTTTCCTTGTAACAGATAAAATGTCTTTTTACCGAATTTATTGTGGTCTGAACATTAGATAGATACTGCATTTATTTTTCTTTGTTGCAGGATTGCAATTCAATGGAATATTTTTCATTTTCTAAAATTTGAATTGTTTATGTATTATTGATATTGTGAAGTTCGTGACCCCATTATTTTTACATACGTTTCTGTTTTCAGGCTAAAAATTGGCTCTCAGTAGTCATTTTCATTGGGAGAACTATACTATCAATACATGTAAAATTTGCAGGTTAACATTGTAATTAATTTTTAGGGTCAGCCAAATTTTTAGAAGGTTAGTATTTTTAACGATAATTTTTAGAAAATCCTATTCAGGGTTAATTAAATATTTTATTTTTCCATATACATGGTAACATACTTATTCCTTTGTTTTCCTCAATCGCTTAAAGTAAATGCAAAAGTGAAATGTATGTTTGTAAACCCATGAGCAATTAGGTACTAAAATAGTTGTAAAAATTCAATAACAAATGTGAATATATTTTGCTAAGGATCATTGCTCTTTAAGAAAATACAATTACTGCTCCTGGCAATTTCTTATTAAATTCTAACCCACCTGTGGTGGATAAGTTTACCCTTTACTCAACCTTTAAGTTAAATGAATTCATAAACCCAGTTCATTAAATTTCCACCATATTTTAAACATTTGCGTACGATGAATATATTTGTTTCTACGATTTGTTCTTATCACAGTCATGTGTTGATGTTATATGTATAAAATCATTATGATACAGTTATTTCTGGTTCAGTGATGTATTAATTTATTTCATTACCCTGTAATGGTTGAAAATTAAAATTATTTTGATCTTTGCATTTAATTTGATCTTTAGTCCATAAATCCTCTCATTATGGCGTTAATATTAGTTTTATTATAAAATAAGATTCTTCGATTTCATTTATTCTTCAGTTTCAAGAAGATTATGAAAATTGTGAAAATTTTATTTTCGTGTGTAAATTATAAATTAAATTATGTTACCATATCTCTGTTGCGATTTACGTCTTAAAACAGCATAAATAAAATGATTTCAGCAAATCTGTATTTTTGAAGGACACTAATTGCATTTAAAGACGCCGCATCGGTATTCTCAATGACCTTTCGCGTTTCATTTCAATGAGGTTAGAAGTGCCGAAACTCAGCCATGTTGAATTTTAGGTTTTTTTCTTACGTACAACCACCTAGGAATTTATAATTTAAGTGAAAAAGTTGACGAATACAGGAAAGCTTGGGGAGACCACATTGATAGAATGGAGAACACACGAATATCGAAACAGATTGACCGCTCGAGCTGATGCCTAATTCATCATCCATGTTAAAGGCATTATATCAATAATGGGATTCATTGAATGAATAGAAATGAAATCTTACAATTTCATTTTTATTAATCTAACATCTTTGTTTGATTTACAAATCCCATTGGCCTCAATCTTCTTACCAATATCTACAAAAACGTATTCTGTTACGTATTTAATTTTCTCTATCACTGCAAAATCTCTGTTACATTCCGTGTAAGTATGATCTGGTTCCAACAATTTGCGATGTACTGCATCTCAAATATCTTCGGTAACAACTTGCATCCAATGATTTCCCATGTTCTTATGGGGATTTTGTCCTCCACAGCAATCACTGTATACAATGAAATGTTTCACATTTGGATGATCTTTAAGAAATTTCTTCAAAGAGGAATCAACTTCTTGCATTTCACGAGAGGCAATGATAACCCATTAATATAGTTGCCATGTCTGCTGTTAGGTTGTGGATGCAGAAATTGTCGGTTTGTAATTGCCTCTTGTAAAACACTTAATTTGTTGCCAAAATAGAAGTTGGTAACAATTTTCATTACCTTTGTGTCGTCTACATTTCTTCTAGCGATAATAAAATCCGGTTTTACAATTTAGAGAGCCATTTAGGCCAATCGACGGTACAGTTCCTTCTTTTTCTTTAATTATTTTTACTTCACATTAATTTTTTGGATATTTTACTGCTATTTCAAGTAAATCTCATTTATTACATGCAGTATCAGAATGTGGACGGTGTAAGATTTATCGATTTATTATATATTTTTCGATTTTGCCATTTTTTAAAAGTTTGTTCATTTATATTACTATCTGCTTTAGATTATCAGATGTTGGTGATCAACTTTTGCACCCTCTTCAATCCTGAGAATAATCACCAATATAACAACTCTAGTGAATCAGTTACCCTGGTGAATCTTTCATTCGAAAAATCAGGAGTTTTAAAATACAGTATTTACATACTCTCTACCCCATAATGTGGACTAATTTTGTAGTTTTTCTAGAAAAGCTATTTGATATGAAGTGCTGGTGATTTTAATGTCACACAAGACATTTTGTCGATTTGAAGTCCAGAAATATAACTTTGTTGTTCTTCGCTGATGTTATTGTACCGAAAACTGCATTGATGGTTGCAGTTTTAAACTTCTCTTCTCTTTAGAGATACATTAAAATGATGGAGATTTGTAAAACATATTTTAAACGATGTATTAGGAAGTATTGATCCATAATAATAAAAAACAAATTGTGACATATTAAATTGGGGTAATACCTAATAAATAAACAGCATTTTGGTAAAACATTGCCAAAGGTATAAAATACTGGTCAAGACGTAAGCATCATCTGGTCAACTGTTATGAAACAAGTCACTTTAAAAAAAATGTTACAGATTCTAAGAGTTTACATATCCCAGTGTGGTACAAATTACTTTTATAAACATTACTCACAGGCACATTAGAGTTTACAAGTGCATAAATATATTGAAGTATCAAAGATTATGCAGAGCTGTGGGAAATAACTAGTATTATGTGGTATTATCAGGTATTATGTGGAGGTCAAAAAAACATGACGTCTTGGAGTAGTGTGGATCTGAAGAAATAAAGGTGACAGAAGTATGTTTAACAGCAATAGTGAAAGATATGTGAATATATAATGATATAACTGACTCAATCAAAAAGTTATCATGGAAGTGACTGGGACAAAATTACGAAGTAGCACATCGTAAAAAGTTCAAGTAGGTAACAAATCAATATGTGATAATTGGATAACTATGAAAATTAACGTAATAACTAATAAATTATGAGTGTCAAACGAAAACAATTAGTACTGTGTAAAGGAAGGAAAAAGATTATGTTTGTAAAATAGGATGATAGATATCATTAAGTCGCCCTGTACCTATTTGGAGGTTAAGAGTGTGAGTCGTACTACTTTTGATACGAATTGTTTCAGAAAGAATTTTTTTATGATAGTTCTTTTTCATTCAAGGATTTAATAATATCCCAAAGAATATTATGATTATGCTCTATTTTGTGTTGGGTATGAACATAATGTTTGGATGCAACCATTCTTTAATGCATGTTTCTAGGGCTCTTTTGGTCGTACGTATGTATTTGGCAGGACTGTTTTGGCAAGAAATTTGATAAACAATTTTATGTAGTCTGTTGATACAAGTTGGATCTTTTCTTTTCTTAATGTACCGACTGAAATTACCAGTAGTGATAAAATTGATATTATATATAGAGAGTGATTTTCTTATAATGTTGGAGACTGAAGGTAAATATTTAAGTTCATCTAATAGGTTCAGTATATGTATTAGAAGATGCAGTATTTTTATTTCTGGTACATACAGTGTTGATTGAATGAAGATGAATGTGGATAAATTTATTAATAAATTTAAGAGGGTAATCATTGGCCAATGGAATTGAAAAGAAACTATGTTTAAGTTTGTAGAGTGCAATGTAGGAAAGTTTAATGGCATAATATATATTAATAAAAATGACTTTATAAACTAAATTACATATGACAGACATTTTGTGTTGTATAGTATGTTGCGAATGAAAGTTAGGTTGTCTCCCAGAATATGTGTGATTCTATGCCATTTAATAATAGTTAATTGATTATTTTGATTGATGTTACTGACATCTTAGTAGTTGATGGAACCTTTATGTTGTATTTCATTTGAAAACATATTTTTGAATGATATGAATTGAACATATCAAGTATATTATTATCTTGGTTAGTTGGGATTACACAAAGTATATCATCAACATACATGCAATAAAAAATAGGTTTGAAGTCAAGGTGGCTGAAGCTGTAATTTTCCAATTCTCTAATGACCAATTCTGCGTATATGGACTACAAAGTAGCTCCCATGCGTGATCTTTCAACTTGTTGGTAATTTTTTGGTTGGGAAGGGAAATAGTGAGAATTGAGAATGAGGTTAAGAAGTTTATCAATTTTTTATCCTTTGGGGTAGAATAATGTGGCTCTATCAGAGGACATGTATTATGAATACTTTGGATTACTAATTGATTAAGGATACTGATTAACAGTGATTGGACATCAAGGGAGATTACTAAATGGTAAGGTGGAACATGAATGTCTTGAAATTTGGTAAACACGTTTTTCGATTCAAGTGGTCCCAGAGAAAGTGGATCATACCAACTTCACGAAAATCATCCGCCATTCTTACGACATTGGTGTAGGGACTTTTCGTTGCACTTTTAAGTTTAATGTCCAAATCAGGGGACTCAACTGTCAATGAAACTCTACATGTGTTTGCATACATGCTGTTGTAACATTTGTTTGTAACTGCGGTTGGCATCACTTTTATTTGTTTTGTTTTCTGTCAACATGTTCGAAATTGCACTCTTGAACGCTTGGAAGCATATTAACAATTTTTTGTTGCATTTGGCATTTTGGTATAATATTCTCATTCCATTATTGGTTTTTGATTTTGTAAACCAGATATTTGATACAATAATGAATAGTTTAAATAAACAATAGTTTAAGCGTGTATAAATCTCGCATAAAAATCGTGTTAAATTATGAATATTAAATAGTGCAGCAAGATTTAATGTTATTACCGTACTTTGGAATATAAAAGAGAAAGGATGATGAAGACAAATTCCGAACATACATGTGAAGTGGCATATGTATTCCAGGTAAGTTGTTTATGAAATGTAACAAAATCTTAAATTTTTGCACTAACACGAGATTATTTGCATTACCATATGCATGTATTTTGTATATTTTTTGTTAATATCTATAAATTGTGATTTTAAGTATAGACCTATACGATAATTGAACAAATTTAAATTGTCATTGTTTGTTCTAATAGTGAAGACTCATGTGAGTAAATTAACATTACAATTGTATGTTAACCTCTAAAATGCAGTTTATATCGAACTCACAATATTTTTTAGTGCTGGGAAGTCAGTTCTGAATCAGATCAGATAGATGATTTTGGGAAAGAAAACAATTATAATATTCACAAATAAAAAAGCTCATGAAGGTAACATTCAACATGAGGGTGTAGTTAGCAAAGAAGATATAATATGAAACTTCTTTACAACGAAAGTTCTTATTTATGATACACACTTTTTCAAGTATCTTAACTATCTTTGTGCAAAATTCTGAAAGAAATGAATTTTGTCTGGAAAATCGTGGATAAGTATATTGTTTGTAGGGGAAAAATGATGTAAATTATTAAGACAAACTATTTTTTGTTACCCTTATTAGTAGTAATCAGTAGTAAAAATAATAAAAATATTTGTCAATGAGGATTGTTTCAACGTATGACAAGGCCTATTGCTCTAGCAATGCATATTCAATAAATCTATAAATAGTACTATATTTACATTGCTTTGAACACACAATTACTGATTACATTCTTTGATACTTTCACACTGTCAATGAAATATATTTAATATTTTAAATGTGATACTGTGATTACTATGTATACATATATTACATTGTACATTACATTATGATAATAATAATATTTATTGAGTCACATATACAATTACAATCGTGTATGACAAGTCTATATGATGCCTTGGGTTGAGAGAGCAAAGTTACATTACCGTCCAGGAGCAAACAAGGGGCCATCTCAGCATTTGCTCAAAGGACCAGGGAAACTGAACAAAACGTGATCGAGATGGGGTCATTGGCCTAGAAATACAATACTTTTTACAGTTAGATTAATATATTATACAGTAGATAAATTATCTGCTAATAATTAACATATCAATTTGTTATTTTAATGCTACTACTTATAATAATAATAATTACATTAATAATAATTACATTTATAATACATATCAATTATGTTTGCAACTGCATCAAATTCAATAATAGTAGTACATTCTATATTTATAACTTGAAATGGTGAGGAGGCAAGTTTTGACCAGTTTTTTTCTTCTTCTATTCTCCTTCTGTTTCACAGGATGCGATATGCAGTTCTTTTTTCTTTGCTTCAGCTTGAAACAGTTTACATCAAACAGAAAGTCTAATGGGATAAGAAATTCTTATTTATTTATTTATATTTTTTGAGGGAAATGTTGTAATTTGAAAATTCCTTTACACTGTAGAACATGTTGTTAAGCAGGAAAGCTTTCAATTTACTTTTAAATGTATGAATTGTGTTCATGTCTCTATGCAATACTATTGTACAGTATTAATGTACAGTAGTAATAATATGCTATTACATGGTTATTATAATGTTACATGTATAATTCAGTACAATATATTAGTATTACTGTATACAAATGCATAATTATACATGTAATATTAATATGATAAGTGTAATGAATAATGTTGATTAGTCATTGCTTTGGCATTACAGTATATTACCATACACAGACAAAAATCTTACTTGAGACAAAAGACAATTTTGTCTCGGGTAACATGTGCTTCGCACTTCCATATTAATAATTTTATACCGTTAGAGTTTTTAATAGAATCACAGTTCTGGTTTGTTTTTAGTAATGAATTTAAAATTTCAGTTGTAATTCTATTTTAATTTTTGCTTTGTTTGTAATGTTATGCCAAATGTTAAACTGATTGTTTTGCAAAACTCCTGATGATGTGATTAATTGGGTTGCAAAAGATTGTAATTAGTGCATAAATACCAATAAAATAATTGTTTCAAATATAAATTGATTTGATTGTATTTAAACTAAGAGGACAGCACTGCTCGTAATAATATTAAATAGAGAATCATTTTTGATCTCCCTGGTTGTAGTATTATTATAATTATACAATTTAAATTAAATTGTTCATTAGCATTTTGTGACATCCTATATGTTCATTTAAATTTCTAAAAAGATGTCTTTAAGACTAGCCATCTATTCATCTTTCATCTCAATTATTCTTCATGAATTAATCATAAGATTTAGGAAAAACTCTATTTCTTTATTAAATTTTTATGATAATATATTCTGGGAACTTGTTATTGGGGGGTTGACCTATTTAGTATGCCCCATTTTGACTAAGTATTTTTGAATACATGTGTTAATGATTTCATTGCCTATTTGTACATTCATAGATACATTTTTTATAATTTTTACTTTTACTTTTAGGAGGTTTTTTTTTACAATTATAATTCTTTCATGTATTTATTGTTGTGTTAATAAAAGAACTAGAAATTATTTAAAAATTGGTCTACACAATTCAAGTCCGTCAACCTTTGTTGGATGAGCTAGTTTTATTTTAATTTTTAATGTCCTATATTCTTGGTGTTTGACTTTATAAAATTAAATTTCTATTAAAATGTTGTAAGCACTTATTGTACAAGTTAATTTGTTTCAAGTGTTAAAAGTAATTACACACAGATGTGTAGTAAATGAAATGCTGGGAGCTGTAGCGCATATTCTTTTAAAGCTTACTCCTTATCATAGCATGTTCAATCCAACTGAATATGTGTGGTCTCAAACAAAGGGATACTTCAATAACAATGTCCTTGCAAGATCTTTGCCAGGGAATGGAATAGGACATACATTTTCAAGCAGGCTTTAGAGCAGGTATCTTAGTTATCTGAATTCATTGACACATTTGCCACAAGGAAGAGGAGGTTCAATGTCTTAAATTCAATAAAGTGTTATGAATACATTACTTGCATTTTTTAAGATGTCAACTATAAACGGGAAAAATGCAGTGGAGCATGCTGAGAAAATTATGTATGGCTATAGAGAGGAGGGTGGGGTAGATTGTGAAAACAATAAATTTATTATGCATTTGAACAGTCAATGTAGATGAAGATTTCAAGGAAAAATACCTAAGAGTATATGTAATTGTTGTCAAATAAATTTACTTGGCAAAAAATGTGTAGTGTTTTAATTCTTCATCCTCAGTTTTTACTGTTGAATATTCAGATGAAATATATTATTGTAGAACGAGGGAAATTATAAAATGCAGACAAATAACATTTAAGAACTACTCTGATATTTTTTTAAAATTTTCCTTTCATTCATTCTACATATTATCAATCATTTACAATTTTATAAGAATATAATTTATTAATTTATTCCTCCAAAGTTTCCTAATTATACTTTCATTTTACAATAAAGTAAAAAATTAAACTTCTCGTATTTCAGAATAATGACATTAAGGAGAAAATTATCAAAATAATTCGTATAAATGATAATTATTTCAATATTTCAAAACATTCAGTGAATTAAAATGAGTGCGAAATTCTTATCTCAAATTGCGTATATTTGAATTTAGCGCCAATGCCTAGCTTCATGCACATTTTCGAAGTTGGCAGGAACGAATGTTCGCCATATTGAAAATTCTAGGAACCAAAGAACGCTGAAAAGCCCCATCATACCGATAAAATTCTTAACATAGTAATTATCTGAATATAAATTGTGTAAATATAGTGAATATAAATGTAGTTAAATTATACAGTGGATCACCAATTCTTGAAACAAAAAATTCTAAAAGGAGTGCGCTCTTTGTGTTTTTTGGAAAGAGCATATGCATTGGACAGGTTGGGAGATGTTATGAAAGGTTTTTGTGTTGATAATTATAATTATAAATAAAATATGTTTAATTTTCCACCTATTAACTAAGTATTTTTGTTGATTATTTTGTTAATTTGGGAAATTCTATGTTTGATTGTCACTCAAAATCTGTCACTTTATCCAATGCCACAATACTATTACCTATGTCAGCTGTGGTAAAGAGAACATCAGGGTGCAAAGTAATAAATATGGGTATGAACTTAATGATTTGTAAGGCGATATAATTATTGTATTTAATATACTTGGTTTGGGGTTGTCCTTTCTTAACATTTCGAATGATATAGACAAATTCATTTGTATTTTTTCTGCTCAGGTGACGGAACTGAAAAAATATTAGTTTCAAACTGTTTTGTGAGTACCATTTTATATTTTTTGTTTAAGTATGGTTTGATTGGAGAAACTGTTTAACCCGAAGATACAATATTGACAACTTCTGATGGTATGTCAGTACAACTTAAATTTATAATCAATATATCTCGAAACTCAAGTTTACTTTCACATAACTTTAGGCAAGTCTTGTTTATATCTCTATATTCTAGAAAGTAAGCGGGATTGACCCAGTAATACGCTTATATTTAACAACGACCAAATCATTTAAAAAATTAATATAAAGTAAAAATAATTTCAACTAGTTTCAATACTATGCAAAAAAATAACTAAACTGAATTAAAATTAAAATTAATGGCGACTAATTATATATAATAAATGGAAAAGAAAATCAGCTGTTCTATATATTGTTGTAAGTGAAGTTCACTGCTGGATTGCATAAAGTCACTATCGAGTCAGCAAAGATCACTTGAAGCAGTGATTTTAAGTTTGTTGACATTTGAAACCATTTTATGTTATGTGAATACCTATCATTTGAGACAATATTATAAAATAGTCTCACAGAACGATGCGCCTATTGCGAAACCGAAATCAGTCCATGAATCAGTGGGCAAAAAGTAATATATTCTCAATATTTAAATGAAGAGAACAATCTATTATAATTGCCTTCTATTTGCTAAATTTTGATAATTAGTAATGATTGTCGATTTCGCGTACCGGATAACTGCCAGTATTTCGCAATCTTTCATTTCATAAATCTTCTCTGACAATTGTGCAGGTTTGCAAGCCGCGACTCGGCGCACTACCGCAGG